CAGGCACACGACAAAGCCCCACGCGGGAGAAATCACACACGCGTCCCCACCTCCACCGACGCCGTCGACTAGACTTGCATGTATTGACCCAAGTAATAGATACATGTAATTGCAACTTGAGCGACACGTTGCATGACCTCAAGTACTAAACGCAGGGAAATATTACCTGCATTTAACCACTTCTAAATAGAGGAATCGTTACAGCAGTAGAAGAAAGTAAACCCACCCACCCTCCGCAAAGAGACAGCAAGAAAGAAAAAAAGAAAGTAATATTAAAATAAAAACAAAAGCACACACACACACAACAAAAAAAAAAGAAGAAGAAAAAAATACGTGTCGTTTTTTTTTACCCCCTTCCCCTAATAAGCAATCCATCCATACCCGTTTGTCTTTTTATACGTCTAACCGAGGTCAAAAAAGAAGCAGAGCACAGGAAACATAGAAACGAAAACGAAGACAAAATCAAGAGAAATAACCAAAAAAAAAAGTCCCAAGCTACTTGAGACGTCGTTTTTCCACTGCTGCGAGAACACCCTCCATGACGTGCTTGATGCTTGCTTCGCCATCCACGGTTTCGACCACAGTTCCATAGTGCTCCTTGAGGCCACGGATCGTCTCGTGATAAACCTTCAGCCGAGAGAGAACAGTGCTGCGGTGGTCATCATCGCGTTGGATGAGGCGATCGCACAGGGCGGCGTCTTCAGGCGGGGGCGGGTTATACAACAGGTGGTACACATTACCCGTAGCCGGATCCGTGCGGCGGTTCTCGATGCGCTCAAGGACGACTGCGTCGTCAACCGTCAACAAAATAAAGACGTGCGGGACGATGCCTGCCGCCTCCAGCGCCTCTGCCTGCTCCTTGCAGCGGGGAAACCCGTCAAGTAGCCAGCCATGCTCCTTGACGTCATCGCTTTCCAGCCTCCTGCGAACCATGCCTGTGACGAGCCTGTTGGGAACCAGCTGACCGCTGTGAATGAAGGACTCCGCCATCTTTCCTGCCTCGGTTCCTGCTGCCACCTCCGCACGCAGCAGATCCCCGGAAGAAATGTGCACAACCCCAAAACGTTCTACAATGGCTTGACATTGCGTGCCTTTCCCACTGCCAGGGGGCCCTGCGATGATGATCTGCGGCGGAATTGGGCGCTCCAGAAGGTCGTGGATGTACTTGGTTGGGCTTTCCGGGAGATCCTGCAGGATGTTGCGCAGGATGCTGTCCATGAGCTGCGCAATGTTGTGCTCCTGCAAGTACTCCTGCTTGTTATCCAACATCTTCCTCTTCTCGGCAAACCTTGAGGTCAATGTTTTTTTTTACTTGCGGTTTCCTGGGCGACGCCCCTCAGTCGTTTTCAATACAAATGTTTAAGTCTTCTCTTCTTGTGTTGGTGCGTAGGAGCAGAGCCACCGCGCACGTGCACACACGGCGACAGCGGGAAGGGAGAAGAGGGAGAATAACATAAAAGCATAAAAAGCAAAAAAAAAAGAAAGACGAAAATAAAAGGCGGAAGCAAACACGCCGCCTTCCGTTGGGTCAAAACCCGCGAGGGCACCCGCAATCAACGAGAAGCGTAGCTACCAGCAATAACAGTGGCAGACGTCTCGCCCCCACCAAAACTCCTGCTTTGGAAGAAACGCAGAACATAACATAGCCAAATAACAAAAAAAGAAGGAAGGAAACAAAAGCAAAAGAAAGGAGAAAACGAAAAGAGAGCAACTTCGAGGGTATATTCATACACCTCTATACATTCCAGTTAGGCGAAGCCGCCCCCACTCCCTCCCTCACTCCCAAAGAGGAGATCCAGAAAGTCATCCTCCTTTGCTGTTGTCGATGCGAATTCCAGCAACTTCCCCTCCGCCTCCGCTGCACGCACCTCTAGCGAGAACGAAGAAGTGTAGCCAGTGGCGGAGGCGCTCGCGGCCGGCTTTTCCATCCTTCGAAAGGAGTGGACGGGTGTGTGAATGGAAACGACCGCCGTCAACGTGGCATCGACTTTGGAGGCCTGCCACGGAGGCACTTCCTCCGCTGCGCTCAACACCCCCTCGCGTGGCGGCGCTTTCAGCCCAGCCGCCTCCTCGAGGAGCGCAGTTCCATCTGCTGCATTGCCTTTCGCAGCGGCAGGAACTTCTTCCCCTGCCTCGTCGTTGTTGGCGCCATCTTCCTCATCAAGCCACGCGGGTGGTTGATCGTCGAGGTCGCCTGGTGGCGGCGGCGCCAACGGTGGGAGCGCCGACGCAATTGCCTCGCCTCCGGTTTGGCCTGCAGGGGCATTCGGAGTTTCGCGTTTGCCTTCGCTGCTCGTCGCGGCACTCCCGGGGTTTTGTAGGACGGGTGAGTGTACGGAGTTCAGAGGTCCGGCATCGCGTGGCGACGGACTCCGCGGCGCAGCCGCATCCTCCGCCAGGAGCAGCGAAGGCTGCGTTGTACCCGCCGCCGCCGCCGCTGCTGCTGCTTCTACTGCCTTGCCCGCCGCCGCAACAGCCCTTACGCTGCGACGTTCCCCGGCAAGCGGCCCTGGAGGAAGCTGCTTGCGCTTCTCCCGCCGCTGTACAGCCTCGTGGATGCGACGAAGGATGCTCGCCTTGAGTGTCTCCGTCATGAGTGTGCCTTCCACCCCCACCACCGTGAGGGTGGCGCTCTCCTCGCAGAGGTGCACGAGCCTCCGCGCCGCCAGGAACGTGAAGGGGTTTCCACTCAACTCCAGCACCTTCAGCGCCGGCAGCCGACGCAGTCCGCGGCAGAGCGCCCTCACACCGTCGTTGCCGACCCCGTTGTCTCGCAGGTTAAGCGTATGGAGGGAGGAGGCGTGCGCGAGCACAGAGAGCAGCGGCACAACGCCGCGATCCCCGAGAAAGTTTCGCCCCAAGTGCATGACTCTGACGCCGCTCAAGTGCACCGTGCTCGCAGGCATGATGCGTAGCAGCCCGCTATTCGGGGGCACCTCAAGGGCCGCACACGCCGCGCGGTAGATTTCCACTGGGGATGTCATCTCTGCCCTTTCGCTCTCCTGACGCTTCTCTTCCTCCTCACTCTCCCTACCGCCGTCCCCGCGGCTGTTCATCCCTCGCCGCGGAGCAGCAACGTGGAAGCGGAGTCGCAAAGGGAAAAAGAAAGCGCAAAAGACCAACAACAAATAAGTAAGCAAATAAACAAAATAAATAAACACACACACACAACAAGAACAAACAAACAAACAAACAAACAAACAACGGACGCGGAGAAGCGCAGACCGACACAGCCCCCATTTCCTTCACCAACCCATAATCATGCCGTAAAGTGAAGGACAGAGTGAGAGCGGCAGTAAACGGCAACGCGAAGAAATGAAGGCGCTGCCGAAGAAGAAAGCGAGAAAGACTCGAAATGCCACTTGCCACCACCACCACCACCACACACACACAGACATATATATATATATATGTGTGTATATGTGCTGTTGTTTGCCTTTCGTTCCTTCCTGCCTTTTGTGCACTTTCTCCGCCCCTCCCTCTCTTTTTCATTTTTCTTCGCCTCCTCTCTGCAGCCCATGCCATCCCGCCTCCACCTCCCCTCCCCTGCGCGCGCGCGCCGTCGGCATCCCCACGGGCACATCTGGGAGGGCGAAGTACACGATGATGTCAGCGGTGCTTTTTTCCCTTTTTTTATTCGTTTTTTTTTTGTGTGTACATATTTTTTAAAAAGTCTTTGGTGTGCGGGCACGCGCGATCCAAAAAAAAGTGGCGGCCAGATGCCCGCACGGGGGTGCAACCGCCTTGCGATGCGCGGTTACCCTCCCACACACGGCGACTCCCTCGCCTTCCTCTTCCGCAGCGACAGAGCCGAAAAGTAATTCCTCCGTCACTCACATTTCTTGCCGGATTTACCCCCCCCCTCCCGCTCCCGACTCCCCACCCAACACACACACACACACACGCACGCACACACTCACAGTCATTTTACTCTCCTTTTCTTTTTGTCGTTTGTTTTACTTGCTATTTCTTCAGACTGCCTGCCTTTTCCCTTGACGATCTTAGTACACTTTTTTTTTCTTTTTCTTCGTCTCCCTCTCTCCCCTGTTTTTTTTTCCGCTCCTTTTTTCTCAGTTAGCGCTCACTCCCATCTTCATTACGCGCCTCCCTGCAGTGAGTGTCTGCCAGGACGCAGCGGCGCTCGTCCCGTCTTCACTCCGGCACCGCCCACCACAGCACGCCCGGGACACCTCGTTGGGCCCCCACACGACGTACACACATGCGGCGTTGCAGGTCAGACACGCCGCAATCCGCGTCAGCCGGTTGCAGTACTGCTGCGGTGCACCTTTGCCTTCTCAATGGCCCGCAGAAGGGCATTCTTGTAGGCTTCCAGGACCTCGGAACCTACGCACATCTCCTTCAGAGCAACGTGCATCGCCCCCAGCCACGACACGCCTCGATCTAATCTGTGATGGTTCTTTGGACCTGCCCAGACAGCCCCAACACCGTCACTACCTCCACCGTTGCCGCTGTCGCTCTCGGGCTCTTGAAGTTCCGCCGCGGAGAGGAGACGTTCACGTTTCCAGTCACATTTCTCCAGCACTGCGAGAAGATCTCGGCTGCGAATGTCGTGAGCAGTGTATCGAATACGTGACTGGACACCCCTTCCAACTGGCTTCTCGGTGGTGGCAAGCAGAATCGCCAACACGCCAAAAGCCCAGTCAAAGGGACCTAATTTCATTGCCATAGATGCTATGGCGAAGGGAATTGGTTCATTCGGATGCTGATACCCTTGAATAACAAAGGCACGCAGCACACGCACAGCTTTGCTACGCATGTTCTCTGCGACAAAGTGACGTAGAAGCTCAACACATTCTACCTGAATCACCTCACCTGCCTCCACCACTTGTTGTAGTACCATTTCTGCATGGTTAAAACGATCGGGGTTGCTCCCCCGCAGCAACTGCTGCACTGTCGCGCTGGTGGGTCGAAACCCACGCTCCTGCGCCAGAAGTAGCACGCGTTCGGCATCCTCCAAGTGACCTAGGGGGCAAAAATGCGTCAATAATGCGCTAACCACCGGGGATCCATTCGTGAGTGGTGTGCCCTCCACATCCATACGGCGAAATACATGCAGAGCCTCCTTCAATGTTGCCTCTGGCTTAGACTTTGCCAGATCCTCCAGAGACATGGCAAAGAAGAGTTGCGTGCCACCGCGATCGTCCTCCTCGCGACGCCGGTTTGACGCTGCGTTCCCCCACGCAAGCGACCTAAAGTGCTGGTTGGTGAAACCATCATTATGCGTCTGCTTACAGAGGATACGGAACGTCGAGTTCTCCGGCGCAATGCCGCGGTCAAGCATGTCAAGATAATATTCAACTGGACTCATGTGCCTAAATGGGGTGGGCTTCATAAAAATAAGGTTGTAGGGTCGCGTGGACATGGGTTCAACGCCGGCGGAACACATCTCTTGAAAGACGTCCTCTGCGTCTTCTGTTTTCATGCGCATTACAAAATGCTTCTCCAGCTGCTCTGACAAGCCGTTCGTCAGGGAGACGTCATTGCTGCGCAGAAACTCTAGCAGCTCACGCATCTCATCCGAAGTAAGGGAAGGGAACTTGTGGAGTGCAGCCGTGACGGCGCTTGCAGATAAACTCCCCTCCACTAGCTGGTGCAGCTGCAGGACCTCCAGTGCGCTGTCCGCGGTGATGGCAAGCACGCGCAGGTACTCAGACGGTCGCTCAAACCGCTGCTCAAAGGCCTCCACAATTGTGACAATGTGCTCATCATCGTCTCCCGCAAGCCGCTTCGCCGCGAGCAGCGCGCGTCCCCAGCAGAACTCCACCATTTCCAAGGCATCCGCGTTAATCGCACTACTAGCAGCCGTGGCACCGTTGTTGTGCGTGTCCCCGTTCACTGGCGCCTTGGTGGGCGCCCCTGTTGTTGCCTCGCCTGGACGCGAGGCCTCGAGGAGGAGGTCAAGTTCAGGCATCGCCTGAAGCTCTTCGAAGCGCTGCAGCACAACAATGTCCTGCTTCGCCTTGTACGCGGCGAGGATGTCGTCGCACAGACTCTTCCACGGCACCGCGGCGGCATCGCTTGCGACGCCGGCCCCAGCCCTCGCACCGCCACCAGCCTCCGTCACCGTGGCCCTGCCGCCACTGTCCTGCCGCATTCCAGGGAAAGCGTGCGCCAATCCAAAAGCAGACGTGCTGACTCCTTTTGCACAAGTCACCTCAGTGACGCGGCAAACGCAAAAAAAAAAAAGTAAGAAGAAAAGAGGATTAAAAAAAAACGCAAAAAATTTCATCATCCCCACTGCATCTTCGTGCCACAACGGGCGGGCCGCCCCCATCGTGCATGCATGGCATACTTACCGTATCCGCTCCTTTTTTTTATATTT